AAGAAGGGGATCCGAATTCACTCTCTCTAAACTCCCTTGTAAAAGTGACCGTGCATTCCTTGTTTTAATATAATTCGGGCTACAGGTGTTCCACCTAAAGTCCTACCGGTCGTTCCGAGTGTTTTTACTTTCTTTACTTTACGAAATCAAGCCAACTATTCTAGACCCGGTCTAGTATAGTTTGACCGGTCAAGTAATTTACACCATCAAGCTAGATGTTGGAAGAAAGTAGGAAAAAACTAGAAAAACTAGAAGAAACTGGAAAAAACTGGAAAAAACAGGAAGAAACAAGAAAAAACTGGAAGGAAATAGAAAAACTTCAAAAAATTGAAAAACCTAAAAAAACTTTACAAAAATTTATTTTAAATTCTTGTTGTTATAAATTACGGAGTATTATTATTATTATTATTATTATTATTATTATTATTATCTTTATTATTATTATTATTATTATCATCATCATCATCATCACGTTATCTTAATGAATGTTTTTAAGATACAAAAAAAGTATTGTTATTTTTCAAATACAAAAAACTAAATTTGCAAAAAAATAATTATAATATAAAGTTAGCATAAATATAAAAATATTAAATTTTAAAAAGTTTTTGTGGTTACGTTGCACCTCAATTTATTTATGCAGTATTTATTATAAATAATATATTTGTAATTATACTTTATGTATTACAAGATTTTGTTTTAAATATCAGACATGTCACATAATGTAATCAAACCTATTTTTTCTTTCATGATTGGCATTTTATTTTCATTGAAGTCCTACTTTTAGAATAAAGACAGAATTTTTTTTACATTTTTTATGTTTTACTCCTATTTTAGTCTTTTTCTCTAAACTATTTTGACTTACAATTTTTTTTATAAAAATTAGAAAAATGAGAAAAACTTAAGTAATAAAGGGAAAGGTGATAGGTCTTATATAAAGTTAGATTAATAAAACATTCTATGTCATTATTTTATCCATAATTTTTTAATATAGTTTAACATATAGATGTTTTCATGTTTTATCATGTAGATTAATATACAAAAAATTGTCTTATTCATTTTAAAAAATTGAAGAAAAAATAATGAGTGCGAATCGTAAAAATAGTGAGATGAAAAGAATAATTTATAAACTATAGTTATGAACATAACAGTTGTAATGATGATGATGATGATGATGATGATGATGATGATGATGATGATGATGATGATAATAATAATAATAATAATAATAATAATAATAATCAGATTAAAAATATTTGTTTTTAGAGCAATTGGTTGGGGAGTAGAAAGAGTTCGAAGAAAATGAGAATAGTTGGAAGAAACGGGAAAAAAACTGGAAGGAACTGGAAGAAACTGGAAGGAACAGGAAGAAACTAGAATGAACTTGAAAAATTGGAAGAAACTGAAAAAAATTGGAAGAACTTGAAGGAACTGGAAGTTAAGAGATGAAGCCCTAAAGAACAGGCTCTTTATAAGAAAAATAAAATTATATTCGATATGATTGTATTAAATTGATTTGAAATTTATTACTCCCTCTGTCCCTTAAAGTCTTTCCCTTATTGACTTTTTGAGAATTTAAGGGAGTGATATTTTTGTGTTGACTTTCCAAAAATAACTTTGATGTGATGGGGAAAAGTATGATTTGATTGATAGATTATTAGTAAAAAAGTATGATATGATAGGTGGGGTAAGAACATGAGTATAAAAAATTAAAATCTCAATAGGCCTAGAGTGAGGGTCGAACTTTAGCATTTTGGATAGTAAAAGATAATGCATCCAATAATGCTACCAAACTCATTGATACATAAGTCACGCAATAAGATATATATTTACTTTATTGATTTGAACAAAATTTCCAATTACTTAGAAAAAAGAAACACAGGTAGTATCTAATATACTTGTTTTTCTTTTACTTGTTAGCGTTTCAGTCAACTAAATAAGAAAAAAAAATTCAAAAAAAAAGGAGTACCTAAACATTTTTTTCCTCAATAAAATTAAGACATACTCCGTATTTATTAATTATACTTTAATATATTAAAATTATTTTTTTCTTCTACGTTTTCGCGTTTCAATCAACTAAATATAAGTGTAAAGTGTCTTATACGAATTACGGGGTACTCCGTATTATATAAAAACACATCGCCTAACCTTTACTTTTTTTAAATTATGAGTATTGCCTTACTATTTTAGTACTTATTAGATATTCATTATCTATCTTTGATAGTATTAAAAAATAGTACAAATAGAAAACAGAAAATGTGACGGCATATGTAAAATAATATTGAATATTAAATGAAAGAGTGAAAAACAGAAATTAAAATTCTTTATTAGTTAAAAATATCTAATACTATAATATAAAATATTATATATAAAATATTATTTTTTTAGTTATAGTTGACCGGGTCGTTACCTCTAGGATGACCGATTAGCCCTTGACCCACTAGCTCGTCCGGGTCGATATCTGGTCCAATTTCCAAGACATAGATTTAGGAAGGTAAGTATATATAAACCCTTTACTACAATTTTGTATGTCATATACTTATTTTGTTATATGTTAATTGTCATTTAAATATAATTAGTGCATACACTTTAATTTGTTAATACAATGGATAAGACCTTTAAGGTCTTTTTTGTATGTCTCGGCCCAGACCTTTGAATTCTCAGGACCGGCACTGGATCGACCTTTAGTGCATACACTTTAATTTGTTAATACATTGGATAAGACCTTTAAGCCTTTTTTTGTATGTCTCGGCCCAGACCTTTGAATTCTCAGGACCCGCACTGGATCAACCCGTCGGAAATCAGCCTCACCTTGGCGGCCGGTTGCCGGTTCTTCTCCCGCCAGTCGCCGCCAGCACTCCAGGTATTTCACTTACTCTTGAGTCTCGCCAATGTCATGCTTTCAGTTTCAGCTTTCTTTTATAAGTTTTATATCCGTTGGGTTGGCTTTACATTTCTCATACTATCTTAGAAATTTAATCATCTAAAACACTTGCAAGTTAGATTTCTTCAATTATAATTTCTCTAAGTAAAAGAAAATGTTTGGATTGTGATTTCAGCTCTGCACTTATGGGTTTCTTTTTCTATTAAAACTGCCAGATTTTAGTTCAAATCTATCAATTACTTTCACTCCAATTCCATCAGATTTTCAGCTGTTTCGTTGTGAAGTTTTGGGTATTTGAGTTTGTCTCAGTTTCGAGTCTTAAACGACTATTCATTTGTTTGTTCAAATCTTGAATGTTTGGTGATTTATATTTTCAATTGACTGCAAAGCAGCTGCAATTAATCTGTTACTACAATAAAGATTTTTATACTTCATATTTTTCATACTCTTATTTTTCTTTTTTCACTTGAATTGCTTGGAAGTTTTGGTTATAGGTTTTCGCTAGAAGTTTTTTTTGGGCTAATGTCATTTTTTATTTTTCGTTGTAACTTTGTCTTACACTTTTTTTTGCTGCAAATGTTTTATGTTCTTTAATTGTTTGACTCAGGCGTAACTCTAAGAGTTTAACCACAAGGACCACCATTTCATTTTCCCGCCTAACTCTAACAGTTTAACCACATGGACCACCATTCCTTGTCTACCTTAGGCGTAACTCTAACAGTTTAACCACAAGGACCATCATTTCCTACAGAGTTATAGTTTAAAAAGAAGGGAAACCTCCATTTCATATTCCCGGCTAAATAGTCTTCACTCACAACTGATAAGTGGTTAATGTCAATTCGTCATTAAAAGGTAATTAATTTTTTTTATTTAACACGGTACCGTGTGTAATAAATTAAACACATATGAAATATATTAAGATGTAACATGTGTAATGATGGTGTAAATTACCTGACCGGTCAGACTATACTAGACCGGGTCTAGAATAGTCGGCTTGATTCAGTAAAGCAAAGAAAGTAAAAACACTCAGAATGACCGGTAGGACTTTAGGTGGAACACCTGTAGCCCGAATTATATTAAAACAGAGAATGCACGGTCACTTTTACAAGGGAGTTTAGAGAGAGTGAATTCGGATCCCCTTCTTCGAGGGTTACAAGTGGTATATATACTAGCTAGGGGGGCAGGACCACGTGCGCCCACGTGGGGGCATGCAGCTGGCGTGGTGTGACCTGACTGGTTCTGGGCTGCCTTGTCATCTTGCGAGGGGGGTTGCGCCCTTGTCGTGTTCTGGCTTGGAAAGATGCCTTCAGCATCTCTGCAATTCCAACCACTATAGTCCAAATCCTTTTGGATCCCTTCTGCCGACACTCTCCGATCTTCGGAAACTAGACCGGGCGATCTTTGAGGGTTGGTTTAGCTAACTTCGGAGGATGGATTTAGGCGATGGAGTAGTTTGACCGGTATACTATCCGAAGTACACCGGTCAAAGTTTTGGGTCAACCCTCTAACGACTCATCACTTCCTTTCGAGCTCGACTTCTTTGACCGGTCAACTATCCGGTCCTGACCTTTGACCGGTCATGGGTGAAATACAACCATCAATAAGCCCTCCACTTCTCGGTTATGCGATTTTGTCATAAGCGGGAAGTAAAAAATCTGAAACAGAACTTTTAAATTCGAATTTTGGCTTTTCCCGCTCAAAATTTTTGAATTCAAAATTTGAAAAGTGTCAGTTATGACACGTGCGGCCTGCTGAACAGCGTCAGACCTGCGCCCTTTCGCCTCCCCAGGCGCAATGATGGTGCCGCTTGACGCGGCGCGCCCTGGTGAGGCCACGTCGCCTCCTTCTCCTTTCTCCTCGCCTATATAAAGGCCTCCAACCCCCTTGCCTTCCTCACTTCTTCTTCGCGCGTCTCCCGAGTTTCACCGGTCAATCTCCTCTTTCTCGCTTCCTAGCCCTCCGAGTCAAGTAAGCTTTCTTCCTTCCTTATTAGTTTTTCTTCAGTCTCTATTTCTTTTTCCGGTAGATGTCTTCTCCTGATAGTCAGGATATTTCCGCCTCAGATGCCCGCGCATCTGAGGAATTTCTTTCTTCCTCTTCATCGACCGGGTCACCCTCACCAGCTCCTGGTCCCCGGTCGATTCCCAACCCCAATGTTCCAGACCCGCGGCCAGTAAATCAGATGCCCGGTCAGATCTTTCAAGAGGGGGGTGAACCGGTCGAAGACGAGCCGGCCCCCTATGACCCTGATAACGAATCATATGAGGCATGGGTGGACCGGTTGGAAACGGCCGGTTATTTTCCTCTTCCTACCAGTTACCCTTCAGACATCTACCCTCATGTTTCCAAGATCGCCCAGAATAAGGCCCGAAGGAACCTCCCGGAGGGGTATGTCCTTGAATACGACCCCAACTGGCCCAACATCATCGAGCCTCACCGGGATGATAGGGTAGGGTTCCATATCATTTCCCTGGAGAGTGGCACTGTCTTCCCCCTTCGCCCCCTCCTGGTCGAGTTGTGCCACTGTTTCAAGATCCTCCCCAGGCAAATTACGCCCAATGCCCACCGTTTCCTTAATGCCTTTGTAAATATCTGCATCCATCTCAAAATCGACCCTTCCCTTCGCTTTTTCCTCTACTTGTTTGAAGTTCTTCCCGGTAAGTCGGGTTGCGATGGCTACGTCTATTTCAAAGGCCGTAACGGTCGCCAATTCATTTCTGACCTTCCACAAAGCAACCGGCAGTGGAAGGAAAAATTCGTTTTCATAAAATTTCCTACGGTTTCTCCTTTGGCCGGCATACCATGGAATGACCACATCCTGAAGCCGCAATTTACCGAGCCGGCCACCGCCCCAGACTTGGAAGAGAGTTTAGAGAAGCTTCTCCGAGGGGACCCGTTCACCGGGCAAATGTTTCATTACGGGGCTTGGATCTGGCGGATCCAACCGGGTGGCCAGGGTACCCCTATGGCTCATGAAGCAGCGGGGCACGGGGTACCCGCCCCGAGCAACACTGCAGAGGCCGGGGGCCCCAGCCACCCAGGTATCTTTCCTTCCTCTTTCTTCTTGCTTTTGTTATACCGGTCGAAGTTCGAACATTTATATTTTTGCTTGTTTTGTAGACATGAATTTCAGGGCGTTCAACATGCCGAAGACAACCAGTGGTTCTTCTTCCTCTGCCCCCAAAACTGTCCCGGTCCAGAAGGAGACAATTGAAGTTCATTCCGAGGAGAAAGCCCCTTTGACCGGGGGATCTGCCCAGACTGGCAAGGCACCGGTGAATCCCTCCCCCAACAATGGAAAAGGGAAAAAGAGAGTGAAGCATGCGGCCACCACCCATCCATCGGTCAAGAAGAGAAGGGGAGAAAACCCCCCGGCGGAAGAGTCGCTGGAAGAGCTTTGGGTCAAATTGACCCTTAAATTGAAAGAGGTAACACTTATCCGGTATGCTCTCTTGAATTTGTCACTCGATCATTGTCCTAACCGGTACACTTTCCAATATGTAGATGGGCGAAGTTAGGCCCGACACCCTGGAGCAACTCACCGAAGATTCCTCCTCCCGGCTGGCTCAGCTGGAAGAGAAGTTGAAGCGATCTGAGGCCCATAACCGGGAGCTTAAGGAACTGACGGCCTGGCAGCTAGACGAGATGGCCGACCTTTCAGCGATCGCCGGTGGTGCCAAGGTAGAGGCTCTCCAGCTGAAGGAGGAGAACCTGAAGCTGATGGAGGAATTGGAGTCAAAGGAGCGAGAGTTCCCCGGCCGTGCTCGCCGATGGATGGGGGATAACCTAGAGGAGGTCGCCCGAGTAATCACCTCTGACCAGGAGAAGACGGTGGAGGCTTTCAAGCTGATCTACCGGGAGGAGCAGGGAAAGGAGATGATCACGCAGATAGGCTCCTACGGCTTCATGTCTGGGCAGAAAAGAGACCGGGAGGCTACACACGCAATCTTGACTGAACGTGACCCGGCCTTTTCTGCTGAAGCATACGGTCTGGCCCCCATCCCTGATGAAGAACCTGAACCCCCTTTCCCTTTGCAGTGAATTCTCCCCGGTTGCGCCCGGTCGTCTTTTGTAAACTTGAAAACTTGAAATTTCCCCGGGAATGCCCGGTGTATTTGTAAACAATTAACATTCTTATTTTGCTTGAATGCCATGTTTGTTTTTCGTACCGGTTAATCTTCCATATCTGCTTACTCCTTGGTTGATAATTCGTTATTGCTCCTTAGAATACCATCATAGAAATTCCGACCGGTAGAACTTCAAAGTTCTCTTTGATTACTTTATCTGAAGGACCAGCTCGAGTAACTTTGACCGGTTGAACTCCAACTTGGTGGTCAGTTTGAAGAATGATTGACCGGCTAGGCTTTTGAACACCTTCGTTCTTGTTTTGAAAGTGAAGCAAAGTTTGACCGGTAGGTCCCTTCTCCATGGTCTGCCCGGTGAACTGCTTCGCCTTGTGGAACTTTCGAAGTTCCTCTGTATCAATACCCAACCGGGGTATTCTTCTTTTTTTTTAAACCGGTAGGTTGTAGATGGAACGCCTGTAACCTAGTAATTTCTTGAAGTATCCTTAACCGGTAAGAATACTGGAGAATTAACCATGTTCGAATGGTTTCGAACCCTCTCCAAGGTTCAAATGCACCCTTCTTCCAGGGCCCCCTCTTCCGGGTGATTAAGTCTTTTAATGGCCATTTGATTTCTACCATCCCGGGAAGGCCTTAGCTCACCCCCCGTTCAAGTCTTCCCTGAGAAGGGGGAAATAGGATGCGCCACGGTGGACGATCCCCTTCTATTTCTTTTAATGGGCATCTTTTGGTCCCCAATCAATTTGACGGCGCCGGCTGATTCCCCGACACCGGTCAAACCTCATGGGCCCGTGTAAGTACGGTTCGAACCCTCTTCCAGATCCAGCCCTCTTGCAGGCATACCCTCTTCCGGGCCCCTCTTCCGGGTTTTATATTTTTTCTATTATACTGAGCAAGACCGGTGTAGTAACCAGCGTGCCAGGTCCGGGCCTGTGTCAGTCAACCGAATAGGCTCACCTAGGCTAGGTGGGCCCTTCGGGAGGATCCTATCCAAGCTGGATAGTTAAGACGACGATGGTAGTAGAGTATTGAATGTCATCGGTTTGATTGATAATGAAGTAGGCCTTGCCTAGTATTACAATCATTTGTAGAATTTGCGAAGATGGTGGGAGTTCCAGGTTCTTTCTACCGGGTGTTCCTCTAGATTTTCTAACCGGTAGGTTCCCGGGCGGACAACAGCTCTCACCCGATACGGGCCTTCCCAGTTTTTGGCCAGTTTTCCTCCATCACCCGGTCTACTAGCCTCTCTTCTTCGTAGGACTTCATCTCCAACTTGGAAGTATCGTGGTCCAACCTTGTTGTCGTGGTACTTCTTCACGACTTGTTGATATGTGCTCATTTTAACTTCCGCGGCCATTCTCCGCTCTTCGACCAAGTTGAGTTCGGCCAAGTGATCCTCCTCATTCTGCTGGGGTTGATAATTTGATTCCCGAAATGTTGGGAATTCAGCTTCGATGGGCAACCTTGCTTCACACCCATAGGTTACGGAAAATGGAGTTTCCCCATGAGCCCTCCTGGGTGTTACTCGGAACGCCCAGATGATATGTGGGAGTTCCTCCAGCCACTTGTTTCCTGCTTCTCCCAGCCGTTTCTTTAGGCCATCCACAGTTGTTCGGTTGGCATTTTCCACTTGGCCATTTCCTTGGGGGTAGGCCACCGAAGAACGGTTGTGCTTAATTCCAAAGCCCTCCAAGTATTCGGTGAATCTTGGATTTCGGAATTGTGGGCCATTGTCGGTGATTAGGTTCATGGGGGCCCCAAATCTTGTGATGATGTTCTTCCAAATGAATTTTTTGCATTGTTGCGTGGTGATGTTGGCCAATGCTTCGGCCTCGATCCATTTGGTGAAGTAATCGATGGCTACGATTACGAACTTCTTTCTCCCCTGGGCTATTGGGAATGCCCCAATGATATCCACCCCGAATCTAGCGAAAGGGATGACATTCGATACGGGGTGATAGTAGGTAGCCGGTCTACCGGGATACTTGTAGAATACTTGGCAGGTTTTGCACTTCTGGACGTACCTCTCGCAATCCTGGACAATCGTTGGCCAGTAATACCCCAACAAGATGATGCGCTGGGAAAGAGTGCGGGACATTTGATGCGCCGCGCATACACCTTCATGGACTTCTGCTATGACCCGTTCAGCTTCCCAGTTGGTTAGGCACCTCAGGAGTGGCCCCCCGAATGCCCTTTTGTACAGCTTCCCATCAAGGACTTGAAATCGGGGTGCCCTGAGCTTCACCTTTCTTGCCCGGTCATCCTGTTCTGGCAAGGTTCCGTCCATCAGGTATTCCATCAGATCATACATCCAGTGGTCATCTGCTCCGACCAAGTTTGACCGGTCAGGTTGGTCTGCTCCTGTTATGGCAGCTACTTCCAATTTCTCGATGCTGGCACGGTCGAGAATTTCCACCCGGGCAAGTTTTGAAACATGCTCGGGAGCGTACGGCGTCAACTTCGAGAGAAGGTCTGAAGTTGAAGATGATTGCATGGTAAATTTTGAAGTTGAAGATGATTGCATGGTAAATTTTGAATCCGTCCGGGGTAGTAAAGACTATACCACCCCCGTAACCTTTAGGACCGGACGCCCCGTCTACTGCCATCTCCCACCACTGCTCGGTAGGCTTGTCGACCGGTGCATCTGGAGTTACACCGGTCATTTCCACGAGGAAGTCCGCAAGGGCTTGCCCTTTGATTGCTGATCTCGGCCGGTACTCAATGTTGAATTGAGTTAACATCATCGCCTACTTCACCATCCTCCCGGAGGATGTTGAATTTCGCAACACTGCACCCAGCGGTTGGTCAGTCAAGACTTCTACCGGGTGAGCTTGGAAGTAGGATGTTAACTTCTTTGCGGAGATGAAAAGCGCGTAGGCTGTTTTTTCCATCGCTGTGTATCTACTTTCGGCTCCGTTTAGTGCTTTGCTCACATAATAAATAGGCTTTTGTGCCCCATCATCTCTTATTAAAACAGAGCTTACAGCATTTGGGGAAATTCCCAGGTACAGATACAGAGTTTCACCCGGCTGGGGTTTAGACAATACAATATCTGACACTAGGTATTCTTTCAGCTCCTCGAATGCCCTCTGGCACTCTTCGTCCCATGCAAAAGTGTTGGCCTTCTTCAGGACTTTGAAGAAAGGCAGGGACCTCTCAGCTGACCGGGAAAGGAACCGGCTGAGTGCCGCCAGACGACCGGTCAACTTCTGGACATCCCTCACAGATGTGGGGGCCTGCATTTCAGTGATAGCCCAGATTTTTCTGGGTTGGGCTCTATTCCTCTCTTGGTCACCATGAACCCCAAGAACTTCCCGGTACGAACCGCGAAGACGCACTTCTTGGGATTCAACCGGAGGTTGTATCTTGCCATGATATTGAATGTGGCGCGCATATCAACCGGGTGATTGAGAGATACCTGGCTTTTGATTAGCATGTCGTCGACGTATGCCTCCATGGTCTTTCCCAGCAGTGGCTTGAAGAGCTTTTTCACCATGCGCTGGTAGGTTGCCCCCGAATTCTTCAAGCCAAACGCCATTACCCGGTAACAGTAGGTTCCTTCGGGTGTGAGGAATGACGTCTTCTCTTCATCCTCCTTGGCCATGTATATTTGGTGGTAGCCCTTGAAAGCATCCATGAAACTTAGGAGTTCGCATCCCGCAATTTCGTCCACCATTTGATCTGGACTGGGGAGGGGGTATGAATCCATCGGACACGCCTTGTTCAAGTCCGTGTAGTCCACACACATTCTCCATGTGTCCCCCTTGGGAGCAAGAACCACGTTGGCCAACCAATCCGGGTACTTGACTTCCCGAATGTGACCAACACTGAGGAGATCCTTCACCTCCTTCTTGACGAAGTCCCGCCGGTCACTGGCCAGATACCTTTTCTTCTGGCGTACCGGTCGACTTCCATCTCTCACCGCCAACCGGTGACAGATGATTGAGCGGTCGATTCCGGGCATATCTGCCACGCTCCATGCAAATATGCCCGCGTATTCTCGGAGTACCCGCGTAATCTCCGCCTTGAGGTCTTCTGGGAGATTGGCTCCGATTCTGACCATCCTTGAAGGATCACCCGGGTGAAGTTCGATCTCCACCGTCTCGGCCTCGGGTTCAAGTTTCTCCCGGGTTTCTCCCTTGGTGATTTCTTGGGAGATGACGTTGACTCCCTTGGTCATCTTCTTGACCGCCCGGGCATAGCACTCCCGGGCGTTCCTCTGGTCGCCGCCCTTCACTTTACCCACACCACCTGGAGTGTGGAATTTCATGCATAGGTGGGGCATGGAAATCACCGCCCCGACCTTGTTGATGCCAGGCCTTCCAAGGATTGCGTTGTGGACGCATTTGATGTCCACGACGATGAACCGCATTTTCTTCCATACAGTCTTCTCGCCCGATCCTAGTTCGACCGGTAGAACTATGGACCCTTCAGCCTCCACTGTGTCTCCCGTGAAACCTGATAGAGGGGTTTTGAGGGGCTCAAGTTGTGTCCGACACAACCTGAGTTTTTGGAAAGTTTCCAGGTATAAGATGTTGACACTGCTGCCGGTGTCAACAAGTACCCGGGCGACATCCACCCCATTAATGTCCATGGTGATGACCAATGGATCATTGTGATCTTCACCGGTAGGAGGGAGATCCCGGTCAGTGAAGACGATCGGATCCCTCCTAGTATGTTTACGCCTGGGCGGTTCAGCGCTTACCTCACCAACGTAAATGCTCCGGACCCAGTTCTTCCGTTGCGCGGCTGAGTCTCCACCCTCAGGTCCGCCGAAGATCATGCCGATGTGTTACTTTTCAGGGGCAGGTTTCCGCTCCTTTGGCCGGTTATTCCTCCGCCGGTCGTCGTCCCGGTCATCCTCCGGGATAGATGGCCTTACCCATTGGTGACTCTTCTCCTGGGCTTTCTGCAAATAATCTTTGCCCAGTTCCCCACTGTCTATCATTTGCCGGATGACTCCCTTAACACTTTTGCACTCGGAAGTGTTATGGGAATCTGACCGATGGTACGAACAATACGTGCCCGACCACTGCCGTCCAGTTTGACCGGTAGGATTTTCCGGAGGAATGACCGGGTAGGGAGCCGGTGCTTTCCTTACCTCCTGGCACTCTTCTGTGTTGACCATGCGGACGACCGGGTCATAATGGTGCCTTGGCCGGCTGGTTACCGGTGCTTCTTCCTTTTTGACCTGCACCGGCTTGGGCTTGAACCCATGTTCGGCTTCCTTCTTCGCCCGGAGTTGAGTTTCAGCCTCAGCAAACTCCCATGCAGTGTGATAGGCCTCTTGGTACGTGGCCGGGGGTTTCCGGCAGAACTCCTTGTATAGTTCCCCGGCACGTAAGCCACTCAAGAGGAGAGATAAGACGGTTTTGTCATCCATCTCTTCCACCTTGTCTACCTCCTCTTTCCACCGGGTAAGGAATTGGGTGAGGTTCTCAGATTCCCTCTGCTCGGCTGTACTAAGATAGGTGAATTTCTTCCTCTTGGTACAGTTCTCCTGGAACTTGGCCTTGAACTTCGAGGCCAAGTCGCTGAATGAGTCAATGCTTCCCGGGCGAAGCTTGTTGAACCACTCGGTGGCTCGATTCCGCAAGGTCTGGAAGAAAAGGAGGCACTTTTCTTCATCTGTGCAGCCGTTCATGGTTGCACTCTGATTGAAGGAGTCTAGGTGGATTTCTGGGTCCTCCTTACCGGTGAACCTTGGGGCGTCTATCTTAACCTTTCGCGGGAAAGGTGTCAGATGGACCCTTGTAGTGAACGGGGACCCTGCGAGGGGTTTGTCCCGGTCATTCTTCTCCCCAACCTTCTTCTCCAGCCTCTCTAACTTTGCCTCCATCTGTTGGACGCGATCATTGCGGGTGGTTAACCGATTAGCCACCGGCACCCTAGGCTGGCTTTCTGCTTCTTCTTCCTGGCGAGAGGCCCTCGTCCTGGCTGGCTCCTGCCTGTTTGACCGGGAGCGTTGGGTGCGTGCAGGCTCGGCCTCCCTCATCTCACCTAGCCGGGCGAACGCGCTGACATGGGCCACGCTCTGCCCTAGCCTCAGCTTGGCTGATTTTCTCTGGCCCTCCTCCCTATCCCCCAGCCTTTCGAAGGCGGAGTTTCGGGAGGTGGCGGGTCGGACGGTTTTTCCCTTCTTTTTCTTGTGGGTCCTTGGAATGTCCCACTCGTCGTCTCCGCTTTCAACCGAAACGCAGTGACCATCCGGAGTGATTAGCAGATTCGTACCTTGCGGGGGACGCGATGGCCCTGCGGCGTTAAGCGCACCAGTCAAGTTGATGGGGGCCACAACGCTGACTAGCTGCGGCTGGAAAGGTGATGGTTGCGGCACTGGCGTTTGGAAGGGAGACACCGCCATTGGAGCTTGTAGGGGCATGGTTCCCGTGCCTGGAAGAGCGAACGGGAACATACCAAGGAGGAAAGGCATCCCCCCATTCTGCTGGCACATAGCCATGACCTGGCCAAAGCCCTGGATGGCCTGCAGGTTGGCTGGGTCATTCATGAACTGGGTCATGCTTGGTGGGAAAGTGACCCTCGGTCCAGCGGAAGGGACGGGAGCCGTGAATGGGCTGACCATGCTGGGTGTTGGAACCGAGCTTAGCCCCAATGGCAAAACCGGGGCAGAAACGGTTGGCAGGGTAGCAGCCATGGGGATGCTGGTACCTTCAGTGGTGGCTTGCAACTGAGCAGGGGTGGTGTCGATTTGCTGGCTGGAAGACATCTTGAGTGGTGTTTTTGTGGGTAGGTTTGTGTTTAGAAAAGAAAAAACCTTAACGGTCCCACGGTCGGCGCCAAAAATGATGGTGTAAATTACCTGACCGGTCAGACTATACTAGACTGGGTCTAGAATAGTCGGCTTGATTCAGTAAAGTAAAGAAAGTAAAAACACTCAGAATGACCGGTAGGACTTTAGGTGGAACACCTGTAGCCCGAATTATATTAAAACAGAGAATGCACGGTCACTTTTACAAGGGAGTTTAGAGAGAGTGAATTCGGATCCCCTTCTTCGAGGGTTACAAGTGGTATATATACTAGCTAGGGGGGCAGGACCACGTGCGCCCACGTGGGGGCATGCAGCTGGCGTGGTGTGACCTGACTGGTTCTGGGCTGCCTTGTCATCTTGCGAGGGGGGTTGCGCCCTTGTCGTGTTCTGGCTTGGAAAGATGCCTTCAGCATCTCTGCAATTCCAACCACTATAGTCCAAATCCTTTTGGATCCCTTCTGCCGACACTCTCCGATCTTCGGAAACTAGACCGGGCGATCTTTGAGGGTTGGTTTGGCTAACTTCGGAGGATGGATTTAGGCGATGGAGTAGTTTGACCGGTATACTATCCGAAGTACACTGGTCAAAGTTTTGGGTCAACCCTCTGACGACTCATCACTTCCTTTCGAGCTCGACTTCTTTGACCGGTCAACTATCCGGTCCTGACCTTTGACCGGTCATGGGTGAAATACACCCATCATGTAATAAAATAAAATTTTGAAATAGTAAGTAAAACCAAAAAGGTGTGTGATAAATTAAAATGTTGAAATGATACGTAACACCAAAAACATAACGTATATTTATAAATTAAGATGTAACGTGTGTATAGAAATGGCAACTAACTGTTGAAAAAAATGAACCGCTTTAGGGAATAGAATAAGAAAATAATTGCCTTATACACATTGTTATTAAAAAAATCTGAAAAGGAAATTAGAATAAGAAAAAAAATTTCATAGTATAGGGTCAATTGCAAACACTTTCGCAACTGTATATTGCAGTTTCAAGAGTAACAAATCGTAGTGGCTGGAAGATTTTGATATCCAACGAAACAATGTTCCCACAAATTGTACGAATAATGTAGTTCATAAAGAAATTTTTTGAAATTAGTAAAGCAAAAAACTTTTGTACCTTAAAATAATAAAATTTTTATATTCTATTAGATATCATATTCTATCATTCAAAAATAATTTTAATTTAGTAACTTAAATATAACTCGTACAACGCACGGGTGCGATATTAGTAAATTTTAGGGAGAAAGACCAAAGTAGGACTAAAACATTGAAAATATACCAAAATAAGACTTCCATGTTTTTATTCCCGAAATAGGACTAAAAATGCATTTAAATTACCAAACATGGTCATTTACATTACCAAAAAGTATAGTAATGTGCACATGTACAGTGTCACATTACAACTACATTACCACAATGTGAAGTCTTATTTCGGGAAAAAAACATGAAGTCCTATTTTGATACTTTTCTCTATTTTTAGTCTTATTTAAGGTGATTTCCATAAATTTTAAACACTAGAGCTATTTACCCATCTTTATTTGGTTTTATTTTTACAAGCATATATTCCCTGTGCGTCAATTGTTGTCATCACTGGGTAGCTTTATTTTTACAAGCATATATTCCCTGTGCGTAAATTGTTATCATCACAATCTCATTTCCACCTTTGACTTTAGTTGAAAGTTTTACAGCAGACGATGGCGGCTGAGGACAAGAGACTAGTGACCGTCGCCGCCTTGCAATTCGCCTGCACCGACGACGTCGCCACCAACGTCTCCACCGCCGAAAGGTATCATCTTTCTTCTACTTCGGGTGAATAATTATCATTTCGGGCTGGATCAGTTTGGCTCTAGTTGTTGAGAATTTATCTGTTATTCGCATTGTATTATCCACAGTTGCATTTTCTTTGGCTGTTTTACACAGATTAGTCAGAGCAGCTCATGAGAAGGGCGCGAATATCATTCTCATACAGGTAAATAAAAAATTGAAACTAAAGCGTTCAATTTTTGAGTAATTTTTGGACTGAATTTTGTGTTTATATCAATGAAAGTGATACTTGGTATGATTTATTCCTTCCTTGCATTTCCCCATTTCAGAAATATGATTATATCTGCTTCTAAATCGTCAATGAACCAACTCATGAACTCAACCAAAACTTTGGTTCCTTGAGTTCAATGACTTGGTTGTCAAGGACCAACTCTATTTTGAATTATGTGCAAGGTACATATGAGTTTTTGTTGCTGTAATTGTGTGAGGGAATGTTAGTTAATAAAACCATATGTTGGCATCTAATCATCAAATTTTGGTTTAATTGGTTCATAGACACAAGCAACCGCCGTGTAGTTATTAGTTTTGTGGCATAATTCTATACTTTTTTTTGTTCTGGAGTAATTAAACGAGTAATAATTAATATGTTTGGCCTATGGTTTCTGTTTTAGGAGTTGTTTGAGGGCCATTACTTTTGTCAAGCTCAAAGGGAAGACTTCTTTCAGCGAGCAAAACCATACAAGGGCCACCCTACAATTCTCAGGTGAAATTCAAAAGATTGTCATTTTTCACATCTTTTTTTCCAGTTAGTGTGGTTATTCCAATGCCTTGAAGTTCCTCAATTGTTGCTACAAATAAACTGAATATCCCATACGTTTATATCATAATTATCTGCTCCAGATAAACATAAGTTCTTTGTGTGCATACATTGCAGGATGCGGGAGCTTGCAAAAGATTTAGGAGTTGTAGTTCCAGTCAGCTTCTTTGAGGAGGCCAATAATGCCCATTACAATTCAGTAGAGGTTATTGATGCGGATGGGACCGATCTTGGAATTTACAGAAAGTCCCATATTCCAGATGGTCCTGGTAAGTTTAGTGGGAGTGTGGGATTGATCTCTCAAATGAGCTGTGTAAAGAAACTGGTCTGTAATTCCTTCATTCTGTTTCTTTGAAGGCTACCAGGAAAAATTTTACTTTAATCCGGGCGACACTGGCTTTAAGGTAAATAAACGTGTCTCAAGTTGGTCCACCAGCTATGTTTCTTTGGTTGTGATTACTAATCGGTTTTCAGCATCTACACTTTTGAATAATATTTTACACTTATGCTGCACAGGTATTTGAGACTAAATTTGCTAAAATTGGCGTCGGTGAGAATCTATGCTCTTCTTTGTCTTTAGACGTCATTTCCAACGAATTTGTAAAACCCATATTCAGCATTGGCGTGTGTTATATCTTTTATCTTCCGAAACAAATTATATGCGCTATTTTAGGGAAAAGCAGCGGCACTATAGGTGTAATAATTTGAGTCCAGCTAATGATATAATAACCGTGAAACAATCATTGCATTTAATACATATAAAAAATAAGGTAGACTCGACACCCGAAATGGAACTGATATTTCATTGTGTATTCGTGTAGCTATTTGCTGGGATCAGTGGTTTCCAGAGGGAGCTAGAGCCATGGCTCTTCAAGGTGCAGAAATACTGTTTTACCCAACTGCCATTGGTTCAGAACCTCAAGATGGCGGACTTGATTCCCGAGAGCATTGGAAACGAGTGATGCAAGGTCATGCTGGGGCTAACTTGGTATGGTCATGAATGTAATTCTACGTTCTGTTTATTACCTGTTTTTCTTCTTTTCTTTTAAATTTTAAGTGTTTGATAAACTTGTTTTATGATGTAAGGTACCTCTAGTTGCCTCAAACCGCATAGGGAAGGAGATCATTCAGACAGAACACGGGAAGAGTGAGATAACATTTTATGGCAATTCCTTTATAGCAGGTACGCAAATAATAAATGCAGTTTATAGGCCAGTTTGGAAACAGTATAATTTGACTGAAGTGGTTGAAAAGAAATTTGCTAAATAGACTGAATATGCTGAACTATCTTTATTTTTTAAATATTAAATCAAAAATTTTTTTTCTTCTGAAAATACGGATAAAGCGATATTTTCTTTCATTTCATCCAAAAAGTAATTCACGCGCTACTTTTTTCTATTATCAGCCGACACAAGTAGTGCACTACAATAGAGAGTTTTCTTGAAAATCAAACTGGCAAGGCCGTTGAGTAAAAAAAGAGGAAGAAGTCTTCTACCAAATGGGACAATTAGTAATATAACGCTTTTACTGAATGGGAGCACCAAATGCTTCTAATAATAAGTTCAGTAGTGGTTTGGTGTGAACAAGAAGAGGATTTGACCCTGTCATGGCGTTGAATAGGTCCGACTGGGGAAATCGTGGCACTCGCAGATGATAAAGAAGAAGCGGTGCTTGTAGCAGAGTTTGACCTGTATCAGATCAAAAGGAAAAGGCAAAGCTGGGGGGTATTTCGTGATCGGCGCCCGGATTTATATAAGGTGCTTTTAACATTAGATGGCCACAATCCATCCCTCTGAATCATCACCTCAGTATTGCCTGCATTGTGGTGATATTCAGATGGCCCTAAGAAAGCCTTTGCCATCAGCTCAAGGTTTCATTGTTTTTCTTTTCATTAGTTTGAATAAATAAATGGTGTGTACTTTTGTGTGATTGCTACTATAAACTATACATCCCTTGCAGATAATGAGAGACACTTCCTCTGTCCCATTTTAAAGTGTATGTTTACTATCTACATTGTCAAACACTTATCACTTTCTTTATTCATTTTCGTTACTAATTTAATAAAATAATACTATAATAATTTCATCTCTTGCTTTGTACAACTTTTGATGTAATATATAAATTTTGTTTTTTCATTCTACACTAATGTTCGTAAAAATTTGGTTTGAAAAAACTTCAAGCTAACATCGTAAACGGACAACTAAAATTAGGACGCAGGGACTAATTGTTATGACCAGACACTTCCTTTTTTGCTTTTGTATTGGGTACATAGAAACCCGTGAAATGAAAAATTGGAGGGTCTCTTTTGAAGAATGCTTGCATTACTGGAATTCAGAATATTTTTTTAAGGATGTAGATTAATGTTTGAAAACGTTAAAACTAAAGGATATGGTATGATAACTTTTCCTAAAAGAGTAAAAGCTAAAGCATAATGTCAAAGAAAAAAAAACTTAAGGTACTCCAAGTTTGCCTTCACCC